CACGCGGCCCCTCCCGCTGCACCACCTCCTGCCGCCTGCCGCGAGGGCTCCGCTCCGGTCGGCGGGGAGGGAAGGAAGAGGACTGCCCTGCAGGGGGCTCTGGTTCTCCGCGCCACCGCCCCCTACAGGGCAGCCAGAGCAGAACAAGAGAAAAAAAAAAAAGCGGCCGTGCCGCCCTAGGATTGGTCAGAACGCCGCCTCCAACAATGTGCCGCCCAAGCACCAGCTTGCTCAGCTGGTGCCTGGAGCCGGCCCTGGTGCCGAGCTAGTGACCTGCAAAGGAGTTGAACCACACTGGCCTTGTGCCCCTTTGGGCTTCTGGATGATGGATAAAAAGAGGCTGAAAGGGGGTTGTTTGTTTGTTAAAGGGGGGGTTGAGTTATGATGATGATTAATGAGTATCTCTCTCAGTGCCTGGCTCCAGTTGTGGCCCCAGATGCCCTGGGGCCAAACGCTGCACAAACACAGAACCAAAAGATGGTCCCTTCCCCAAGGAGCTCACAGTCCTGCTGATTCTCTTACTGTAACAATATCCAGTCTTAGCTCCCCTGGTGTGACAAACTGGCCCCCAGAAATGCTCGGCCGGAGGCCTAAGCCTTCTCCTTGAGTTCTGGGCTGAACCAGCTCATGGGGTCTCAAGCTGGGCAGCCAAAAACCAAGACTCCCAAAATCAACGGCTGCTTTTGACTTGCCAGCCCTGGCCCCTGGGGGTTGATTGCCCAGAGTCATTACACTTGTACCCTGCTTGTGTGCTGCCTCAGCTCCTTCGGGGGGCGCCAGTGCTGCAGCCCCATCACTGACAGTAATTGCTTGTGTCTTCATTCATTCGATGGGAATAAAATTACGGGGAGTGCCAGGCTTGAAGGCCCCATAGGACCTGAACTGTGGGATTGTGGACAGTGCACGAGGCTGGACGTGGGACTCCAGAGACCTGGGTTCTAGTCCTGGCCCTGGTCTGCTAGGTGACCTTGGGTAAGTCACCACCCCTTGCTGGGTCTCAGCTTCCTCCTCCAAGACATGGGGTTCATGGTACCCACCAACTTTGAGAGCTACCGAGGAAACAGCTTCCTCTTGAAGAGCTAGAGACCGGCAGGGCAGGATGAGGCATTAGGGGCACTGTGCCTGCCAGCCTGGAGGAGATTTTCATCCTCAGCCTGGAACCATTCCGCAGTGGAGGAAGGGAAGTGTAGTTACAACCAGTGTCCCTCTAATTTTTCCCACCCATGTGCAGAATGAATTTTGTTATGTGCACCAGTGTGGAGGTGATGTGTGACAAGACCCGGTGTGACATATCGCCTTTGTACCGGTGCACATAACAAAAATCATGGGGTGGGGGTGGGGCCAAGGGGTCCGGAGTGTGGGAGAGGGCTCAGGGCTGGGGGTGGCGGGGGGGGGG